CACTTTTTTCCCTCTCTGCCAAACTAATAGTCCCTAAGACAGGCACTCAAATGGACTTATGGGTGTTGGTAGACTCGGGGTGTTCACGATGCCTAATCAGCCTCCCAACTGTCCTTAAATTAGGCATCAGGGTGAGACAACTCTCCAACCCCATGAAATTTGAACAGGCAAATGGATATTTAATGGGCAGAAACCTAATAACCCACCTAATGGAGCCAAGTGCAACTAGAGGTGGAGGAGCATTGGGAATTCATTTGATTTGTGGTGGTCCCAAAAATGACTGAAACATTGGTTCTAGGTCTAGCTTGGCTGGACGAGTGGAAACCCCTAATATGGTGGGAGAAAGGAATGAGAACCCTGAGGCCATTACCCCCCCCCCGCCCCTCCCACAACACTAGCGGAGCAGCAGAACCACCACCCAAGACATTAAAAACAGTGACAAATCCCCTGCCAGGAGTGCCTCTCATTCCCAGTGAATACCCAGACTTGGCAGAGGTGTTTAGTGAGGCAGAATGTGACGTCCTTCTGCCCCATAGAACAAATGACTGTGCCATTGAGATTCTGCTGGAAGCTAAGTTACCAAAGCCAAAGATGTATTCCATGACCCCCCCCCTCGAAGTGGAAGAATTATGGCAGTACATTGATAAAAATTTAGCCAGGGGTTTCATTGAGCCCACCAAATCCAAGGTGGCTGCTCCAGTGCTTTTTAAAGAGAAAAAGGATGGATCACTTAGGATCTGCATTGATTTTAAAGGTCTCAATGGGGTGAGAGTGGAGAATATGTACCCTCTCCCTTTAATGAAGGACTTGTTAGCCCATCTGGCGAAGGGGCAAATTTTTACCAAATTAGACCTAAGAGAGGCATACTACCGCATGAGGATAAGAGAAGTGGATGAATAGAAAACTGCCTTCAACAGCCCTGTGGGTAGCTATCAGTTCAAGGTTATGCCATTTGGATTACAAGGAGTTCCTGCCGTATTCATGCAGCTGATCAACCAGGTGCTACATAAACATTTATATAAAGGGGTTTTGGTGTATCTTGATGACATCTTAATTTACACAGAGTCTATGGCGGAGCATATAAGCTTAGTGCGAGAGGTACTGAAAAAACTGCTGTACACTAAACTCTATGCCAAGTTTTCAAAATGCAAATTTCATCAGATGTGTTTAAATTATTTGGGCTATAGAATTTCCATGAAGGCATCGAAATGGATCCAGCTAAAGTGAAAGTGGTGATAGAATGGCAGCCCCCAAAAACTTGGAAACAGCTCCAGAGCTTTCTGGGTTTTGCTAATTTCTACCGCCAGTTCATCCCTTCATTTGCTGAGATTGCTCCACCCCTTACAGTACTATTGAAGACTGGAAAAGATGGGAATAAACTATGTCTAGGTCAGCCTCTGCACTGGTTGTTAGAATGCCAAACTACTTTTGAGAATTTAAAAACTCTGTTTGCTGCTGAACCAATTCTAAAACACCCTCATCCTGAGGAGCAGTTTGTTATTCATGCCGATGCTAGCGATGTGGCTGTGGGGGCAGTACTGCTACAAAAAAATCATGAGGGAATTATACGACCCTGTGCTTACATTTCAAAAAAGTTCACCAACACAGAGTGGAGGTGGGCCATTTGGGAAAAAGAAGCCTTTGTGATTCGATGGGCTTTGTTGATGTGGCGTCATTTCCTAGAAGGGAGCAAGGTCCCTTTTGAAGTATGGACTGATCACAAAAATTTAGAGGCATTGAAAACTCCCCGTAAACTGTCTCCTTAAACAAGTACGCTGGGCGCAATATTTGAATTGTTTTAATTTCACCCTAAAATACATACCGGGTGGAAAAAAATTCTTAGCTGATGCCCTCTTTAGATTGCCCCAATACAAAAGCCAACGTGAACAAGTAATAGACTCTATTATGCCACAACCACAAATTATTTCTCAAATAAACCCTCAGAGACAACAACACATGAGATCCCCCAACCCAAACTATCCTTTGGCAGAGAAATTAAAACAAGAATTAATAAATGACCAGTGGTTCAAGGACAATCAAACCATCCTGACCCATAGAGATGGATTAGCTTGGAAAGGGGGGAAATTATATTTTCCTGAATTTCTCAGACTCCAAGCGCTCCAGTGCAGCCACGATGTTAAACAAGCTGGCCACTTTGGTTATTTAAAGACACTACACTTAATTAGAAGACAATTTTAGTGGCCAGGCTTAAAGAAGGATGTGGAGAACTATGTAAAAAGTTGTGCAGTTTGTGCTACCATGAAAAGAATCCCAGGAAAACCTCCTGGGCTACTGCAGCCTGTTGCAGACCCTTCTCAACCATGGGAAGAAATTGCTATGGACTTTATAGTTGAATTACCGGAAAGTAAAGGGAATACGGTAATATGGAGTGTAGTTGACCTTTTTTCAAAACAAGCTCAATTTATTGCATGCTTGGGTCTGCCATTTGCCCAAAAACTGGCTAAGATGTTTCTCAAGCATATTTACAGATTATACAGCACGCCAAAACGGATAATTTCTGACAGGGCTAAGCTTTACATCAAACTGTCAAAGTGCGAATTTCATCAGATGTGTCTGGATTATTTGGGCTATAGAATCTCCAATGAGGGCATTGAGATGGATCCAGCCAAAGTGAAAGCTGTAATTGAATGGCAACCTCTGAAGACTCGAAAGCAGCTACAAAGCTTCCTGGGGTTTGCTAATTTCTACCGTCAATTCATCCCATCATGTGCTGAAATTGCTCTACCCTGGACAGACCTATTAAAAATTGGCTAAGAAGGGGGAAAGCCATGACCTGGTTAGCCACTACAATGAACTATGGAATGCCAAACCACTTTTGAGAACTTAAAAAGACTATTTGCTGCTGAACCAGTCTTAAAACACCCCTACCCAGAGGAACCATTCATTATTCAAGCCGATGCCAGTGGTGTAGCTGTAGGAGCAGTACTTTTGCAGAAAAATCATGATGGGACCTTACAACCCTGTGCTTACACTTCAAAAAAATTCACCGACACTGAATGAAGATGGGCTGTTTGGGAGAAGGAAGCCTTTGCGATTTGGTGGGCACTGTTGACATGGTGTCATTATCTAGAGGGGAGCAAGGTGCCTTTTGAAGTATGGACTGATCACAAAAACTTAGAGGCATTAAAAACTCCTCGTAAACTGTCTCCCAAACAAGTACATTGGGCGCAATATTTTAATTGTTTTAATTTCGCCCTAAGATACATACCGGATAGAAATAATTTTTGGTTGATGCCCTATCCAGATTGCCCCAGTATAAAAGCCAGTATGAGAAAATCATAGTTTCTATCATGTCCGCACCACAGGTTATCTCTCAAATTAACCCCCCGAACCCTTAATCTGCAACAACTCCTAACTCTGATGATCCTGTGACAAAGAAGTTAAAGCAAGAACTGATTAATGATCAATGGTTTAAGGACAATCAAAGCATCCTGACCTATAGGGATGGGTTGGCTTACAAGGGGGGAAAATTGTATCTGCCTGAATCACTCAGATTCCAAGCGCTCCAGCATAAACATGATGTAAAACAGGCTGGTCACTTTGGTTACTTGAAAACGCTGCACTTAATTCGGAGGCAATTTTGGTGATCAGGCAGAAAGAAAGATGTAGAGAGCTACGTAAAAAGCTGCACAGTTTGTGGTACCATGAAAAGAATTCCAGGGAAGCCCCCTGGACTATTGCAGCCTGTTGCGGACCCTTCCCAACCCTGGGAAGAGATCGCTATAGACTTTATTGTTGAGTTACCTGAAAGCAGAGGAAATACGTTAATATGGACTGTGATTGATCTTTTTTCAAAGCAGGCTCATTTCATCGCCTGCTCTGGCCTCCCGTCAGCCCAGAAATGGGCTAAGATGTTCCTTAAACACATTTACCAACTATATGGCATACCAAAGCGTGTAATCTGTGATAGGGGGGTGCAATTTACGGCTAAATTCTGGAGAAACTTTCTGAAAATAATTGGCTCAATGCAAGAACTGTCATCGGCTTTTCATCCATCTATGAATGGAGCGGCTGAAAAAGCAAATGCAATGGTGGAACAACATCTTAGGTGTTATGTGGATTACCAACAGATGAACTGGACTGACCTCCTCCCATTCGCTGAAGTGGCTTAGAACAACACTGTCCACAGTAGCATTGGTTTCATGCCTGTTCCTGTTGGAAGAAATTGTTTCCAAGAGTTCTGCTTTCTTAAGATGTGGGATTGAAGTGGGTCCTTACAGAAATCTTTGCCTTGAATTTCTTTTAATTGGTTTCATCTATTGAAACCATGACATTGGGGTGGGAATTGCAACTTGTAACTTTGTAGCCTGAGGGAGGAAAATTTAGTCTTGGGTTCACCTTTGTATGTGCCAATATCTTGTTTCCTAAATAAAATGTTCTTTAGGGAAGAAACCTTTGCCTTGAAGTTTTTTTAAATGGTTTCATCTATCGGAACCATGACATTTATAACAATTCACCTAGGGTTACAGGCTCAGTAAAGAAAATATATTCAGCTATTTTTAATGTTAAAAACATTTCTCAAGATAATTAAAAATCAAATTTATATTCAGAGCTTTGGATGGTTGTGTGTGTGTGAGTGTGTGTGTGTGTGTGAAGATATAGTTAATATGTCGCCCATCTTTGCTGAAAAAATGAACAATCTGAGTGTGGGGGATAGCAAATCTTTAAGATTTATATCTGCAGAAAATGTCTTTATTAAAATGGACAACCAGTTCTATCTAAGTGCTTTTTAAAATGGTATATGTTTTGGAGAAGACATTACAGTGACAATTCTTCATATATTGTTTATCACTAATAGCTTTTTAATTTTTCCTATCAACAATATCCCATTAACTCTTTCTTATTACCTCACTACTTTGTTCTTAGAAATTAACAATATTCAGATCCACTAATTTGGCAAAATTACCATGCAAAGAAATAGCTTCAACCCTAATTTTCATTTTTTCTTAACAAATAATAAGCTTAGATTTTTCTCTTACCTGGTGACACACAAATAACTGATGCATTGCTTCACAGGCTTGTGAACAGAGTACAGACGTGTGCAAGGAAATTGCTCTTCACGGCATTCTGGGAGCAAACCACAGTTCCAAATAAATGATCTCAATTGCATAAAAATGCTTCAAAAGTGGTTGCCAGATAATATTACAATCACATTAAATGTTTGCAATCCATCATGTTTAAAAAAAACTGGAACTAATTTACACAAGTATGATTTGCATTTGCACACTGAAATTGTAAGCTGTTACTTAAAATGAACAAAAGTGTTTTTTTTTTTAAATGAACAAATACTGAGTGGAGACATCTTCAAAAAAGGGGAAAAATGGATCCAGGAAACTACAAACCAAGCAGCATGATATCAGTACCTGGGAAGATCCTGGAAAAGATAATCAAGCAATGGATCTATGAACACCTAGAAACAATCAAAGCTATTAATAGAAGTCAACAGAACTAAACAAACAAGAACAACAAATATGATTAGGGAGTCGAGCTAAAGCGTATGATGAATAGTTGCATGAACATGGTGTGTGTAGTCTAACAAAGAGAAGGATTAGGAATGACATGATAGCACTCTTACAATATTTGAGGGGCTATCACACAGGGGATTATCTCCAAAGCATTCCTGATAGTGAGAACAATTAATCAGTGGAATATCTTGCCTCCAGATGTTGTGAGTGCTCCATCACTGGAGGTTTTTAAGAAGAGATTGGATAGCTATTTGTCTAGAATTATATAAGGTCTCCTGCTTAAATAAGGTGTTGGACTAGAAGACTTCCAAATTCCCTTCCAACTCTATTATTCTCTAATTCTGTAAAATTGATATTCAAAATATTATTCTACAGCTAAATTGTTTATCTGCAAGGATATTGTATTTTTAGATAACAGAGAATGTACATAGCATCAAATTTTAATGATTTTTAACAGAATCTTGCTTGCATGAGAAATCAATGCACTCGTGCGATAGTTGGAGCAGTCTCTAGCATTGTTTTTGTTTACTAATGGAATAAAACAGTCCTGAGGCCATTGACATGTAGTCTGTATCTCTTTACACAGGATAATGATGATGTTAACTGGCACTGGTCTTAGTAATTCCACAGGTATTCAATCAATACCTGGGGCTTTCCAGTTAGGCAATTTCCCCCTGGCCTGAAAAACATATTTTTTCAGGATGTTTGGTTCTTTATTATCTTGACGGTAAGTCAAACTGCTATAAAGTCCTTCCATATATTCTTTCCAACTGTTCTTGATCTTCTGCTGGTCATTTAATACATTTCCACTGTGGTCTTTAACAGTTCCATTCTGTGCTGAAATGTTGGATCGCATCATTTTCACTACAGCAAATGTGACCTTAGTCACATTTCTATTAACTTCTTCCAGATGTTGACACTGCTCTCCTACTACCTATTTTTGTCTTTCCTGGCTTCATGTTGGAAAATGGCATTCAGCTTTTTAACTTGATCCTTATTGGTTTGGCTATCCTTCAGTGAACAACTATTTTGATAGTGTCATCAGATAGCCACCTCTTTGTTCTCTTTGGCCTTTACTTGAGTTACATAGATACAAGAAAGGTGGGATAACAATTTAATAATAATAATTTAAGCACTGCAAGACTGACAGAAGAGAAGACAATTGCATATCATATTTTAATTGCTTTTGAGGGATATAGAATAGAATAGAATAGAATAGAATAGAATAGAATAGAATAGAATAGAATAGAATAGAATAGAATAGAATAGAATAGAATGGGACCCTGGAGGTTGCTTCTCTCTTTGAATAGTTTCCAACTGTAGTTTCTTGTCCTGCCTTCTGGTGCTTTGGAGAATAATTTGACCCCCCTCTTCTTTGTGGCAGCCCCTCAAATATCAGAATACTGCTATCATGTCACCCTTAGTTCTTCTTTTCTCTAGACTAGCCAAACCCAAATCCTGCAACTGTACTTCATATGTTTTAGTCTCCAGGCCTTTGATCATCTTAGTTGCTCTTCTTTAAGGTTTTTCCAACGTCTCAACATATTTTTTTTGTAGTATGGTGACCAAAATTGGTTGCAGTATTCCAGGTATGGTCTTACTAAGGTTTTATAAAGTGATTTTTATTCTAAGCCTCTGTTTATACAACCAAGGATTGTATTAGCTGTTTTGTCTGCTGCTGCACACTGATGGCTCATATTTAAGTGATCATTCACTAGGACTCCAAGGTCCCTCTCACAGTCACTATTTTTGAGCCAGGTTTCACCTAATCTGGACTTGTACCTTTGGTGTTTCTTGCTGAGGTATAAAACTTTGCTTTTATCCACATTAAAATTCATTTTGTTGGATAGGGCCTATTGTTCAAGTCTGTCAAGATCTTTTTGAATCCTGAGCTTGTCTTCAGGCATCTTGGCTATTCCTGCCAGGTTAGTGTCATCTGCAAATTTGATGATTTCCCCTTCTATTCCCTCATCTAAGCCTTTTATGAAGATATTGAAGAGTCCTGGGCCTAAGACAGAACCTTGTGGTACCCCACTGCTTACTTCCCTCCATGTAGATGTAATATCATTAAGGACTACTTTTTGAGTATGGTTTGTCAGCCAGTTACAAATCCATATGATGGTGATGCTGTCTATCCCACATTTTTCTAGCTTACCAAGAAGTAGGTTGTGGTCTACCTTGTTGAATGCCTTGCTGAAGTCTAAGTATACTATATCCATAGCATTTCACTGGTCTACTAATTTAGTCACTTTTTCAAAAAATGAAATAAGATTGGTTTGGCATGATCTGTTTTTAACAAACCCATGCTGGCTTTTAGTTTTAACTTTATTTGTTTCTAGATGTTTTATTTGTTTCTAGATGTTTCTAGATCTGGTTTTTGAATATCTTTTCCAGTATCTTCCCAGGTATTGATGTTAGGGTAATTGGTCCTAATTTACTGGGTCTGTATTTTTTTCTCTTTTTTGAAGATGGGAACCACATCAGCTCTTTTCCAATCCTCAGGTAATTCCCCAGTGTTCCAGGATTTTTGAAATATATGGTGCAATGGTTCTGAGATAACATCTGCCAGCTCCTTCAGAACTCTGGGATGTAAACCATCAGGTACCGGTGATATATATTCCTCAAGATCAGATAGGTGTTCTCTAACCATTTTCTTGCTTATTTTAATTTTTATTTCTAGTCTGTCTTTTACACTTAGGTTTTTGGTAGGTTGGTTTATAATTTCTTTTTGAGTGAATACTGATGCAAAGAATAAGTTACGCAGCTGTGCTTTCACTCTATTGCTTACTTCCTTGCCATCTACTCTACTGTTTCCTTGACTTTTTTCTTGTTATTTATATGTTGAAAGAAACTTTATATTATTATCTTTGACTTTTGTTGCAACTCTTTGTTCATTCTGAGCCTTAGCTTTCCTGACTTCATCTTTGTAGATTCGGACCATATGCTGGTATTCTGCCTTAGTTATGCATCCCTCTTTCCATTTTTTGTACTTATCCTTTTTGTCTTTCAGTATCAGAGAGAACTTTGTGTAGTCATACTGGTTTCTTCTTGGATTTCTTGGTTTTCTTTTTTAATGGTATTGTGCTGGACTGGGCTTTTAGGACCCTATTTTTCAGCATTTCCCATGCTTCTTGAGTTCTTTTCCCCTTTAGAATTTTTATCTATGGAATTCTTTTTAGTCTCTCTCTGAGTTTGTTAAAATCAGCTCTTTTAAAGTTTAAGACACTGGCTGTATTATGCTCTATTGCTTGTGTTTGCATTATATTGAATTCCAGTATGATGTGGTCACTTTCCCCCAAGGTTCCGGCAACTTCAACTCCCTCTATCACTTCTTCTCTATTAGTAAGAATTAGTTCCAGTATAACTTTTTTCTCTAGTTCCCTCCTCTACCTTCTGGATGACTAAGTTGTCAACTAGGTTGGTTAGGAACCAGTTTGAACTTCCACTTGCTGCAGAGTTTGTCTCCCATTTGATATCTGGGTAGTTAAACTCTCCCATTACTACTGTGGTATACTTCCTACATACATTTGTTAAATGGTTGGCAAAAAGTTCATCTGTTTCTTTTGATTGATTGCGTAGCCTGTAATATACACCTATGGCAATGTCACTCTTTCCGCCTTTTATATTGACCCACATACATTCTAGAGGGGTTTTATCTGTGATCATGTGCATTTTTGTGGTTACAGTATGTAGTGATATCTTATATATAGTGCAACTCCACCTTCTCTTTTTGTAGATCTGTTTCTTTTGAACACTTTGTATCCATCCATCAGTACATTCCAGTCATGGGTTTCATCCCACCATGTTTCTGTAATGGCAACTATATCATACCTACCCTTATGCACTATTGCTTCTAGTTCACCCTGTTTGTTCCCCAAGTTTTGAGCATTTGTATATAAGCAATGAAGACTTTTATGCCTGTCCATGAGTATATTTCCTGTATCTCCTATTGCTATTTGAATTTTTTTTTCTCATCACTCCCTACCTAATTGTTTGATTTCTTTTCTTGGGATTTATGATTGGTTTTGGTTCTAGAGATTCTAAAGATTGGTCACCATCCCCCCTCAATTTTAATTTAAAGCCCTTCTGATGAGCTAGGCCAGTCTTTTTCTGAGTACATTTTTCCCTGTCTTCGTGAGGTGCAGCCCATCCCTTGCCAAGAGTCCTTCACGTAGGTAATGCAGTCCATGGCCCAGAAAACCAAAGTTCTCTTGGCAACACCAACCCTTTAGCCAGTGGTTTATTTCTAGAATTCTTTTTCCCCTCAATGGGTGTTGACCTTTTGTTTGGAGTACTGATGAAGACACTATTTGTGCTCCTAGCTCCTTAACTTTATTGCTTAGCTGCTCATTTATTTATTAATTTAATTTATATACCGCCCTTCTCCCGCAGGACTCAGGGCGGTGCACAGCATATTAAAACAAGTACAAATACAAAATACAAAAAATATAGACCCCTATAAAAACCACATTAAAAACCAAATATTAGAAGCTGTTATTCCTATTAAAATTATTCTTAAAATCATCCCTAAGTAAAATCCTCCCTAGG